ATGTGTAAAATGAACTGTTTTATTGAACTTTGGTAAATTTATAAATATTTTTTTACAGTTGATAAATTCTTTGCATCTGATGCATCAATTTTTGATAAAAATTTAATATTTTGTCAATTCAAAAAAATAAGCAGACAGTTAGAAAATGTTGATCTTTTGTAGAACAGTATAGTCACACTTAATAAGTACATCAAAATATTAAGCTTTAGACTTCAGTTCTGCACTGATCAACATTCCTTAATTATTACTTGATACTAATCCCTCCACCCTATAGTTATTACATAACTAAACCTCTTTAGAAAAAAAAATCTGTTTTGTTTAAATCAAAATTTCTGAATAAAATTCTGTGCCAAGAAACAATGACAATGGGGAGGTTTAAGTGGAGCCAGAGTTCATGCATTGTTCAGGGTTCACTGTAGTCAAAAYATAATAATTGATCTCATTTCTTTGTCATTTTATAAAATTGGAGAATGTGGCTTATCAACTGATATTTTCAAGTATAGGCTAATGGCCTCAAATAAAATATACAATGGGGTTTGGATTTTATCCAACAATATCCCAAACTTTGATACCAATAACCTACGTCTGTCTGCGGAAGCATAATTGATAATTAAGCTGATGCAATATAGCGAATGATTTAACGAATGAATCCAAAGCAAACTGCATTAATAATAATTAATAAAGTATTGCATATGCATTATAAAATGTGATAACAATGCCTATGCATCTAATGCATCCATTTAAATAGTTTGACGTGGTTTCCCACCACTGAATGTTCAGAAACAACTTCGATGATGGTATGTGGCACATCTCAGGGATTAAATGGCCACATTGAGCATTGTTTCCATTGCTGTGGTACAAAAGCACCATATTTGATAGAGAAGTTTTTCTCAGTTTCACTATCGACTTGAGTCCCTCACTGACATGTTAATGTCCTCCCTTAGAAATCTTTCATCTGTCATGATCATGAAGAAACTGCTTAGTCATCTCATAAACTGCAAACATCACAGCTATTTGGGGGCACACACGCAAGTAATTGATTGACAGGCCGCGATAAAGTCCATGTCGCACACCATCCTCGGTGTAGACTGTGATAAACGTGCTGATACAGTTTCTGTACTTGTGACCATCAGCTAAGGAMCCAGCAAGCTGCATACGTCGTCTTACAACATCCAGTGGGTACCTAAACATAATATGACAGGAACATTTTAGACAATTGAGTTATATAAGAGACAACTGCTTCTAAGAGACATTAACTTTCAGCTTCAAAGAACAGCCAAATGTCATCATTAAAATCCATTTGGATTTCATATGATGGATGGAATAGACTCACATTTGAAAACCTTAGTAAATGGTTTCAGACATAGAAACTTTCCAAATAAATTAGAAAGAAAGTCTTTGAATCTTGATTAAGTCTCTTTGACAGAGTGCCATCTTGAGATAAAGCTAACCTTAATTTGCATCATAGTGGTACAACCAGTGAGAGAGCAGTGACAGATATCTATGAATACTATTGTCTGTAGAGTCWATAGATGTGAAACAAGGTCTCTATCACAATACGCTCACTGACACTCTCGTTAGAATAACCTAAAGTACAGCTACTAATACCTCTCAAGATGGTACAGGGAAACATTTTTGTACATAGTTTCATTAGTGATACTTACGCAACAGTTTGTGATGTTGCTCCAGACAAMGCTCCACAGACAAGACCACCAGTAGCTGTTAGCACAGTATCTCCACTGACTGGATGAACTCGGGTCATGGCACCGTTTAGAGAMACAAAGAAATCCTTGAATGACTCAAAGGCATAAAATCCAAGACCTAGTTGGAAAATTATACAAAATATTTTTTAGAAATTTGACAACTTAGCTACCTAAGAGTCAGAATGCTAGTGATTTGATGGACAACCAGGAACTGACCATGTTTGGTTATGTAGTTGGATTTATCTTATGAATATGATAATTGTGGGGGTCCTAGTTTAGGGGGTATTTTGCTCAGGGGCACACTATATTCTTCTTTAATTTCTTCATTCTATCTCACACACTGAATTGTGTCCATATCACAGATAAGAGGGATAATATTAAAGATTATTAGCATCAATAATRCATACCCACAGCAGGAATCATAGACAGCCCAGTAGGAGTAAAACCTCGATACAAGGCACATATCCCTCCTTCAGTTGAACAGATCTGTTTCAAGGTGGAGCAAATTCCGCAATAGCGATGTTCATCAGCTACTTGAAATGCAAGTCTTGACCTTACAACATCTAAAGGATACGTGAATGCACAGGCTGTAATGCCTGCAAGTCCACCAGCAATCATCTTGCCTATGTGGCCATGATCAAAGACGTCACAGAAGATGGTCTTGAATTGTTCATAAGACATGAACTGTATGGCACCATATGGGAAGACTCTCACCATCATAGCACCATTTCCTGGTAAAACAAGTTTGCACATGTAAAATTTAGATGTTGCAGTCTAATATTTCAGTTTGCAAAATCCTGACAGACTACAGTGTACTTTAGTATATGATGTCTGGTGCATTTTGATTGAATACATGATGCAAGCCTTTGTTAATCAAGTGCCTAGAAAACTGGTTGTTCTAGCAATGCTATTGCGACAATGGTTAGCAAACGAGCTTAACAATAGGTTCAGTTTAATGAACATGTTTTAAGTAAATGACTTCAATATTTGAAGAGGAATCTCCTTTACCTCTGTAGTAGCCAAGAGTGCCCTCTTTCTTGTAAATGGCCTTGAGTGCCCCAAATACACCTGAAGAGACAGATCACATGGTATTTACTACATACCATCCTAACASACTATCAATTAAGTTCCAATAGAGTGGGCTAAAAAGGGTCTAAGGTTAAAGATAATTAGAAAATGGAAAAAATTAAAAGTTTGATAATGCTAGTGGAAAACAGATGTATGTCATGCCATGAGGGCCATGCAGTCAAAAAAATTGCCGTTCCCTCTCCCCCCCCCCCCCCCCCCCCCTCCCTCAATAATAAAGCCCATCCCTCTTTCAGCCTAAAAAAAAACAGTAGGGAAAAAATTAATCTTCAAATATCCACTTACTCATATTTTTGTAATGTTGGTTTTGGGCCTGGAACAAGATTTTGAGTCGCTCAAGTGGGGCTGTGGTTGTCTTTGCACAACAAGTCGATAGCCCTAGGATACAATGAGATGGTAAAAAAGATWACATGTCAGTGTGCCAAACCAATAACAATGACGACCACAAGTGGTAAAAACATAAACAAACTCCACGCTGCATGTTGATGGCGAGAAAATTATTGGCCATTTTAATTAGCAGCATTCACAAATAAGCCAAACTGCTTCTTATACAAAGAAGAAAGATACTAAAGATAGAAACGCCGTGGCTGCAGATAGCAGTTTCAGCTGTTTGATATTTGGCCGATGGTCGCTGTCATGCTCATTAAAAATTCGATGTAAACAAAACGCTAGAGCTGAGGACTCAAAAATAACCCATTCAGTTAAATCGTATTCTGAACGTATTCTGCTTTGAATGTATTTTAATGTAAGGTGCAGTGCCTTATTGTATAATATATTGGTAATCGATACCGGAGAAAATTAATATTGAATGGATTAAACAGTTGAAGGTTTTGTATTTTGTAAAGCTTATTAAGCTTATAAAATCTCCAATTTTTCAATGATTTTGCCATAACATGTTTTCGACATGGTAATGACTTCCTTCTATGCATCTTTCAGCAGAAGACATAAGGGTCTTTTATTCTAAATTAAAGTTTCATTTTTTTTTTCAAAATATTAGATTTCTGAACTGCATCAGCTTTCGCTTAGCTTTAGTGCTTACCTCCTGCAAGACTTGTCTCTACCAATTTGTTATGTACCATGGCTAGCTTGTCACCTCAGAAGATTATTATTTCTTCGAGTTTTAATCAAATTTGCAGTAAAGAAAGGAAATCATTTGTTTGGAAGTACAGAGGCACTGTCTTCTTCTCTGCAAGCACGACGTGATGTCGACTCGGCGTTCGTCTCCCGTCCAAMGGGACGAAAAAAATCAAAATTCGCAACTCGTACAAGTTGATTGCTTGCCTCTGTAATTTCAACTGACCATAAGACTCGGGTATACTGGTTTAAGAGGTAAGAAGATCACGTCTGTCACCCTCTAACGCGTTAAGCTTTGGTCACAATACACAGACACGTCTCACTAGCATGTGTAGTTGCACGAAGCTCCGCCAAAACAAAAGGTCACGAGCATAACAAGGGGGGGCAAGTGAAAACAATTACTTTTGTACATAAAAACATCGAAACCAGAATTAATCAAGAATAAAATGATTTCTTCTCATCCTGAATATATTAATTTAACTTATAGATAAGTACAATTCAGCATATTGTTCATATTTTAAGGAATTAGCCGCCGGAATATCAATTCATATGAGGTTTGTTAGTATGCTTTGGTTCCCCCTGATCATGAGGTGTCCACGTGCGCCGCTCAGAGAGATCACGTACGTACAAATGAAATGAAAATTCAAGGTAACACAACAGAAACTACTTCTGTTGTGAATATACGAAAAAAAACGTTTTATTACGTTATTAGAAATACTAGGGAATTGTAACCAGGATATTTTCTAATAAAAATAAAGGARTGTAAGCCTCGGAAGCTCTGTTTACGACATCATCCCATATCATGAATATTAATGAGCGCGCGCTTTCTTTGTTGTTTCAGTGCCGAGCGTATCTGTGACCGCGCCAAAAACTCGTTTTTTCTCCTTAGCGTCTTCTATATAAAGGAATACTTCAATGAAACAGAGGGCTTTTTTGAAAAAAATTGCAGCTTTCAAATTTATTAACCCAAATTAATTCAGCCGTATTAAAAAAAAACCGCTTATGTTATTGTCGTTCCAGATCGTCGCGCACTAAGATCGTCATAAGTGAATTATACGAAAGTTTGTCTCTTATAAAGCCTATCATAATTCATTTTACCTAAAATATGCTTGCTTCGATATGTTCATATTAAAATCTAGGTAATCTAGCTGTCTAATGAATATATTAGGCAAATTRTTCCTATATGTCACGCGTGTGCGTGCATGCTAGAGTACAGCGTGACCCCATCATGACTCAGACGTGACGCAATACCGTTGATTGTCACGATATTGTATTTCGATTTTGTAAAGCATGTCTGGTTTTAAAATCAAGATATTTCCCGAAAACAAACATGCTTTTGTCAGTAAGCATACCCAGAATACTCAGTTTTTATTACAGACAAGAGAATAGCTGAAGTTTCGGACAATAAAAATGAAATATCAACCACAATGATTACTTTTTAGTGTGATATGGTTAGCGGGATAGAGGTGGTGGTTACTAGTAATATTCTTAGTACTAGTATGACCTTGGCTGATCGATTGATTGGTTTGAATTTATAAAATGAAGTGATTTTATCCGGCATTATTTATGAGAGGTCAAAGCGATTACACAGCTTCAAAACCGGTTACAATATCGATTCTTATAAGTTTCTGTTCAGTGTTATTACAAGATCTTGTGTGAGAGCGAATGTGCGCTCARTGAAGAAAATTTTTCCTTTGACTGGAACACGATTATCCTTAGAAAAAATAAGAAAAGAAAAACAAAAAAAAATTGGCAAATATCCTTGTATTATTGAGTGCTACRCCGGTTGACTGATCTTTGAAGGTAGTTGCTTACGTCTGTAGTTCACMCTTCTTTCCTGTTCGGTTTCAGTGAATGATCAAGCCCAACCTGGATGCTCCGCTGCGATGTGCAGGGACGCACGCTGTGTGGAAACAGAAAACTGTAGATTCCCTTATTCATATCCGCGGTTATCAGAGATAACAGACTCCAGGGGTATTTATAAAAAAAACAGCATTAATAACTCCAGATAATTGGGTTCAAGTTCACTGGACTTGTTCTAACGGATCACTCTAATGTCATATATCAAGTGACATTTATTGTCATAGTAAATGTGTCCACAGTCCACTCTTAGTATACAATATCGTTTTTTCAATTTGTTATTACAGTACAATTATTTTTGGAGATCTGGCCCAAAAAATCCAATGATTTAGGGACTGTACAATAATTACCAGGAGGGGGGGTGCCGTAAAACCAAAATATATGTCGCGGTCCCTGACTAAATGGAAATCTAAATTCAAAGACTTGTTGATGTGCAGTGATTGAATTTTTTTCAACTCAGTGATCTTTCAATAATTTTGTCACATAAATTGAGGATGTATAGTTTTCATATAAATTGAAGATGTAGAAGCTGATAAAAACATTGATGATTTATTAGACATAACAAGCACAAGTAATATCAAAGTCGTTTTTGGACCTTGAAAACCTTTGCCGGGAACAAAATTATTTGAAAAGAAGCAAGGGCACCACATTTGCTTGTCAGGTCCTCCTGAAAGCTTTCAATGTCTTTACACTTAGATCCAGATGAGTAAGCCATCTCTTGCATCTGGGTTCGTCTTTCATAGTGAATTTTGGGTTGCTACAGCTGACTCGACTCGCTTGTGCTTGTTTTATAACTAAGGTTAATAGTTGGGGGGAGGGGGGTTCGACGTTATTTCTAATATATAGCAGAGGGGGGAGAGCTATTTTCTTGTGCTTCGGAGGGGGGTTACTAACTAGTTTTCTGCTTAAGAAATCTGGTTTTACGTTTTATTGCACAGTCCCTTATAGAACCCAAAAACCGCTTCAATGCCGGAAACGGAATCCCATGAAACAAGAGGAATCCTGAATCCAAATTAGCTCCTTCAAATGATGTTGGCCTAACATGTTGTAGACGAGTCAATAATTACCGAAAAAGCTGCACTCCTAGACATTTCGGGACATTACAGTCATGYTGTTGTTTCCATGTTATCGTTCTTTCCTGACTATGAAGACATCATAATATGAAAAAACTTGTAGGGGGAAGGCGTGGGGAGAGTCGCRCATCAGTATTGGCCTAATAAAGTGTAAAATGGTTAATAAAAACTGTCTGTCTGTCATATTGCTCCAGTAAYCAATCAAATTCAAGCTTTTAGAAGAAATACAGGCATGGCATAACTGCATKCCCGGCCGACTCTAAAACCCGCAAAATGCGTCAAGCTTTTTGAGTAATGTTTTGCTAGAAATGTATCATGAATAATCAATTTGATACAGTAATTTGCATGGCAAATGATTTCATAATGCGTGGCTATAAAGCTTGGTCAGCATCAATAAAAATGATTGCGTACATTTGATGACATTCCTGTCGGTAAACAGAGCAAAACAGAAATGGTAGTATCTGAATCAATGCCACGCAGAATTGGTATTTCCTAAATTGAAAAGGAGAATGGGAACAAGTTTGAAAATAGCCACGTATTGAAAATTGAAAATCATACTACAATTAGTGTTAAATTCAAGTTTGAGCCTATGTGGTTCAATTTTTACGGGTATAGCGCATTTTTTTTTCCAAAAATAAGATAGAAAAGTGCGTTTGGGACACTGTTTGTGGACACTGTTCAATAGTTCCATACATATATCCATTTTTTATTATTTGCTTGGCCCTCTATAATTATCCATCCAAATGGACTGAATTAACACTGAAATTCAGCTATACTAATTTTAGTATAGTCCATTATAGTCACCTTTCATTTCATGGAAATTACCTCAAGCTMCATCGAGTTTGTGACTATAATTAAAGGCACCAGTGCTTTTTTTTTCGGAATGGGTCAATGAAATATCATTGCAAGTCAAATTATAGTGAAATTATTAGACGCTGTTCCCTTCTCGAATCTTGAATCTTGAAACAGCCGACATCATATTCGCAAATTTTAATTAGAACTTTAGACACTTGCACAATGTCAGTCAAAAAATAGTCGATTATTTTGGTAAATATGGGAAAATTAAACTCGTCTAACCCATTATAACTGAGTGTATTTTAACCGGCATGTGCGTCACAGTCTTTGAGGTGGAACTATAGACACTTTTAAAGTCCAATCATACTTTTTGCAAATGTTATCATGAACAAAGTTTGGTTATRAGGCCCCACCCTAAATTCTCGTCTGGCGTGATCCGCCCTTGATAAAGATGTGCGCTAGCTRCTTCCATCCTTTTAGTGACTAGAGACGTTTTTAAACATCATAAAAGTTTAATAGTTCCATTATACAGACACAAATTAACAAATTTCACTTAAGCATGGAAAAATTGCTCCTTTGGCCTTGCATCATTATAGGCTATGTTTCAGCTATGTTCCGGGMAGTTTTATYATCTTGTCATTATTTTTGTGGGCTTATATTTATGACTATTCTCCTTTATCAAGCAGAAATYGCATAGAGAACGCTTTGTTTGACATGTTTTTCTTATATACAAGGCACTTTTTCATTAAAAACAACGTTATATTTGTCACAGAGATACCTATAATTTTCTGTAATGACCGTTGGACTTGCGTGCATTTTGTAATGACGAAATGATTTATGTGATAWTGAAATTTTTTGTCTTACAGTGTCAACTCCTCCATATTTTGAATGTTTTTCTCTTTTTTGATGATAAAAAGTTGGAAACTTAAMACAGATTGGATAGAGAAATTTACCACAAGTAAAAACCATGCTGTTTGCTGTAAATGGACTAGGGAATTATATTTAGAGTTTTGAAGTTGCAATATAGCATAACGTTTAACTGAATTTTTTCCTAGAGTGTGATARAGGCAAAAAGTCTGTGATAGAGCTAAACATTTCTGAGTGTTTTTAGTGCTACTGCAAGAATGTTGGCGCAATATTATTTCTCAGGCTAATTAAATTAGACCTCCATTGTGTGATTCTGTAACAATTGCGGTGAGCTCAATAACTCCTGGAAGCAACCATTCAAATATAGAACATCTTTGCAAAACTTGCTATTCAATTCAATATGACAGTTAAACACTGCAAGGGACATATGGGATAAGTAACTATGAGTAATGTCGGCGTTTTTAGATAATTARCGCTGTAATTGAGACAAAAATCTCCCAACTACCATATAAGTTTCTAGATGACGCTAAATAAACACTTTCGCCAGGTGTTCAAAGCAAACTTACACGGTACTTTAACGTCAACATTCTAAAACCGCGATCTATTGTCTTTGACGCCTACGAAGAACCTTCACCAGTATATAAGATTGCAAGGATTAAGGATTTTCTAGCGAGTTTTCCAACATGAATGCCAAGATAGCTTKTGTTTTCGCTGTCCTTCTTGTGTTGACAGGATTGAG